GAGCCTGCTTGATTCTCCAGCTTAGGTGCGCAGGACGCGTCTGTGGATTTTGGGCCACGTTCGCTTGATTGCAAGCGCTCCAGTTACTGTGATTAATTCAGCTATTACTTCTCACTGGAGGGTTATGCTGGTACCCTGAATTTCGCTTGCAATCTGAGCTGTGCGCTTGGTCGCTCGTGGCTCAGCCACGCTTGCGAACATATAGTCGTGGCTCCAAAATTTAACCTGGAAAGCAGCAATGTGAGGATGGACTGGAAAATATTGAGGACTAGTGTTCACGATGCTTGTATGTCAGACTTGATAAAAAAACCAAACCCCAACGGCCTGCCCTGTAGGGTTGAGCGCTTGGCAGAGCAGCGTGGAAGTAACGCAATAGAAGCTGGTGGTTGGAGAGGGAAAACAGGTAACAAAGGCAGAAACTCCTTTTTTTTCCTTGTTACGTGGATCCTCCGTTTCTCAAGAAATGGCAGCAAGAGATTGATCCTTCCAGTTGCATCCAACAACAAAAGCTGCTAAATCGCCAGCTATAGAAATGAGCAACAGCTCGTCGATATCCCATGACCAACCACCTTCCAGTTGCCACCGCTAACGTAGGTCTCTGGCCCAAATCCAGACCAGCAGGTTAGCAGGGGATGGCTCTGCTTGCTTCCTCCATCACCCAGCCTGGCAACGGTGTTGCTTCTAGAGGCCGTGTGTCACGTCCCATCGGCACGGGGGGATCCTGGGCTGCAGTGAAGCTGGCCGGCTCACGTGCTCATCACGTGAACGAGCGAACGTAGCGGTGCTTGGAAGGAGTTTCAGCTACGTGAACCCAACGCTTTGTGTGTTTTTGCTAAATATAATGTTAGCTGTGAGCAGACATTTGGTTCCTTAACTTTTTTAATATCGTCACATTAAGCAAAGAGTAAAGAGATTGATAGTCTTGTATATTAGAGGCAATTTGGCAGAATAATAGAAAAATGTACTTGCTTTCATGCAGGCCACGCCAAAAGGTATTTTATTTTTGTCTCTGGAGGGCTCTTCTCCTCCCCGCGGCCCCAAGTTCCTTCGTTTTCGGAGGGCGTGCTGGAGTGTCGCCTGTGCTTTGATGTGGTTTCTACAGTGTGCCTCTTCAGTGGGCTCCCTTACAGAGGCCTTTATGTGAAACAGGACGTTAAAATCCAAACGTGCCTGCTCTGCAGGTTGTTTTTCATCCCTTACGTGCAATGTCGGAGCTGTTGCCGAGCTGTTGGGCTGCCCCCGCGCCAGGAGGGATCGGCAGGAGCGGCGAGCTCCTCAGCGGTTAAGCCCAGATTTCTCCGTAGCTGCTTCCTCTGGGCCTCTCTCCTGCTCGCTCTTTCTCTCCAGGTGAAACCGAAACCTCAGTGACTTCACCCGAGCCTGCTGGAGTTAACAAAAATTTGATATTTCTCACTTCTAGGTCACTTCAGTGCATATTGTTTCCTGCCAGGAGAGGGGATGGCGGGATTGCCCTCCTGTTAATGGAAAAGCAATTACTATTTTTCCTGGCGTTTACCTTGGGTTTTTGTAGCGTAACACCTAGCTTCTCGGGTCTGCGTGGATCTCACTGGCTTTCCAGGCTTGGAGCTATTGATTGCAAGGGTTCAGCATTGCCCCGTGCGGCCGGGCGGCCGCGGGCGCACTGGGATCGCACGGGAGCCGGCTTCCAGGGAGTACCCGGGGCCTGGGCCTCTTCTCCTTGGGGTGATTTTAAAGGGCTGTTTCTGTTTTAATCAAAGGTAGCGCAGGCTTTTAGAATAGGGAGCACTGCATGGCGTCTTATAACTTAGAATTGCTCCTCGTAGGCTGGAAAACTTGAAGTCATTGGCAGCATCTCCCTGGTGGCTTTTCGTGGATCACTGCGAGGTGGATTGTATCCTTTTCTTGTTTTTCTCTTTCCCAGCAGATCCCTGGGTTTTAATCCAGGTCAGAAATCTGCTGCTGATAAACGTGAGTTCATGAACTGAACTGAAACTATGCAATACAAGAACGGCAAAACACGGATTTCGAATTTGGTTTTTGAGCTCCCTGACCTAGACCTTTTTCTAGAGGGACACATTTCCTGGACTCTGGCGTTTCAGTTCAGATTTGTTCTGCTGGTCACCAGGTACTGTGAGGTACCACGCACTGTTCTTGGGGGCATAGCCACAGCGGAAGGAGGGTGTTAATACCTTTAACTTGAAAATAGATGGAGGAGCAAGATAATCAGTCTCCTGAGAACGCGTCTACAAGGTCCTCAGTTGAGACTAAGTCTGTGCTCAGCCTAAAATGCTTATACACAAAGACCTTAGACGGCAAAGCACGCAAAGCTAACGACAGCATCCTTCGAATGGTTGGTCACAATTTTTCCTCTCCCACGACCGCTTTATTTTCATCTGTGACTGTACTACACCCTGTTTAATGATTTGTTTAAAGTCCAGTATTTTATGCAGAGCTTTGCGTTTTCCAGTTCTTTTATTTCTCCTCTTCCTAGAGGGAAAAAGAGATATGAATCTGAGAGATTTTAATGTGTACGCTGGGCTTGCTTTTGGTGTAACTTGCAGTGGATTCAGCGTTACGACTTCATTACGCTTCAGTTGAGTAACTCATGTCATAAATGGGTGTATCTGAGAGTAGAATCAAGCCTGGGATCTCTTTGTTGTGTGGCCTTCAGAAGGACCAAGCGCTTTTTCTCCTTTTTGAAGTCCTAGTTCTCTTTAGATGATGTTGCAATGGCTTTCTATAGAGTTGTGCCTCTGAAGTTAGAGATTTCTAATGCAAAAAACACCCTTTTCCCTCAATTGCTTAAAGTATTGACGTTACTAGGGAACTCTGTCTCGAGCAGCGCTAACGCGGACCTTTTTCTGCGGCTTTGTGGCAAAAATCCCTGTTGTTGAGCCTCATCCCTTAAGAGATCTTTTTATTAAGCCTGCTTGGTAGTCCTGTTGCTTAGCTGTTACTTCTTGTGCGTTAAACTTTAGTGATGTTACTGCTTTGCAGCCGCTAGAGGTCAAGATTGTGCTACTGCGATGCCTAGTGCAGCGATGCCCACTGTCAGCGGTATGGGGTTAATTCTGTTATCGATGCTGTGCTCAGCAGTTCAGACCGGGCAGATTGCCTTATGCATGCATGTATATTCAGGGCGAAAGGCAGTTTGGTTTTGGAGCAGGAGAGCCTGGGTGCATTTTGCAAGGAGAGAGATTTCCTTGTAGCACTTGGCCTTTAATGATTTCAGATCCAGAAACCAGAAGCGATCTGCTCCTGATGGGATATTTCTTCCCAAGGAGGGATTTGAAAGGGAGCTGACCTGAAAGAGAAGCTGTCAAAATAAAATTTACTCCTAAATTTTTTTTCTAGGCTATTAATACTGTTTAAAAGTAGATTATTATGGTGGTTTACACTCTAGTTGGAGACCTTGCTTCTTTCTGCAGTTCGGGTAGCAAAAAACAATTTGTGTTTTTTCGAGGTCCCGCTTGTTTTCACTCTCGGCCGTTTCCATAGCACAATCGGTTGCTGTGTATGAGTTGCAATCTGAGCTGGCAAAAATTCATTTTAAATCATTGCCCTCATTACTTCTTTCCTATTGTATCCTTGAAAACCTGTCCCTTTTGATATGGGTTTTCCAATCCGTTTCTTCTTTCATGATACCGCTGCAAAAGCAGCGCATAGTCTAAAGGCCGAAAGCCTGGTCTAAGGGGGTTTCAGAAGCAGCGGTACCTGCAACAGGGTGTCTAGGATTCCTCCTTCTGTCTATAGTTAGTCTGGCCCTTTAGCATGGGGCATGGATGGTCCCTCTCGCGACCTCACTGGTGTGAGGGCCGCTAATGGTAGAGCGGAGTGTGTGTGTCTAACTGCTGTAGAGGAGCAATCAAACACTCGGATGCAGGCTTGATTTTGATTGTATAGATAATTTGTATAAATATAATGATATATGTGTGTATATTTATGTATATACACATATGTATATGTGCATATGTTATATATCTGCACCATCTAAAATGACTGCTTTTTAGAAAGGCATCTGGATGATTTCCATACCTTTTTTTTTCTCTTCCCGCATACATAAGTATGGGAGAGATTCTATGAATCTGTGTGCAAGTATCCATATAAATTTCAGGTTTACAGAGTGTTTATTTTCTGCTTACAGCAGAGTGTAAACCCTGATGTACAAAACCAGTTAATTTGTTGGCCTGGCCTTTTCCCTTGTGTTAGATATGATTTTGCGCCTGGAGTTTGAATGGTGCCTATACGCCGTTCCCCCTCCGTGCGCTTCAGCTTGAAGTTCTTGGTCAGCTCTCTTGGAAAATTGGGACTAAACGATTTTCCTGTCAGATGTTGTGCTCGCTAGCAATGGGGAAGCTAGCTTGAGTTTTCTGTAGCGGAGCACGTCTACTAACCGCTCCTGGAAGCAAAACACAAAGCCGAGGAGTGCGTGTGGACGGTGGCACGAGAGCTGCGCTGAGGCCACGTGCTGCGCTCCCTGCATCGCGGCGGTTCTCTGAGGAGAGCGTTTGGGTTGAATACCTTTTACAGATCACTCTATAAACGAGCAATGTACAATTAAGATCTCCTGGGGTACCACAAAAATGCTTTCAGGAACCTCTGGGATCCAGATGTGGAATGTTTTGTGCTGACATGGGTTGAAAAGAGAGGAACAAATCCAACAGTTAAGTAGGTCCTTTAATTTAGCCTATGACAGTCACCACATGGCCTTTGGGCTAATATTTCTGCATCTGGGCTGTAAATAGATCAATATGACAGTATGAAGGCTTTGGCATTTTGATTTGTGAAGAGTCAGAATATTGTTTGTATTGTTGCATAATCACTGAAATGGTTTTGAAATGAATCTTCTGTTTCTCTGGAATATCTGGGTTAGGAAAAATATAACATTTCTTAGTTCCATTAAGTGCGTGTTTTATTTTGCCTCATTTGTTGTATTTCATGACTGATTGCATCTTTTGGCTGAAAAAATATAGATCTGAGGATGCTATCGTAAAATGTGAAACCTCCTTTTTTTCTAGGCACAGCAGCAAAGAAACCTGGACAATATTGTATCACAGCATCCCAGGATAAGCGGCGGAAAGAAGTCCAAGAAAGAAGTCTGCGCAAACTCAGATTTGGAGGTAAAAAACACTAGCCCCATGTCTGAGCAGGATTCGGGTATCCTGGATGTTGAAGATGAGGATGAGGATGAAGAGGTAACTGTATAACATCAAACCCAGGAGACTGGACGGCTTGGGGATGACTTGAGTGTCTCAAAGAGTGTTTGCACCTAGCTCAGCCGTGCATGTTCTCATACGACTTATTGTAAAGATGCAGAATAGGTTGGGTAGATGTTGGGTGGCTTTCAGTTTTAGGTCACTTTGCACTCTTGCCCATATTCTTGTTAGCAGGCTCAGCAGAGAGCCTTACACTGTTACGTGAGTATTACGTGGAAGCTTAAGATCCCACGTGTTCTGTCGTACAGGCCTTCTTCCAGCTCGAGGGCTGCACTTTGGTAGCCTCTGCTCACTCGGGAAGACAGTCTGGTATCTATCCTGAACCGTTTAAAAGAAGAAAAAATGCCACATAGTGTGCGAGATATTTTGCCTGTTCTGTGGAACGTATGTGTTCGTGACAGATGCACATTCTCCGTGCTGAAGAGGACTGGATTTGGACAGAATGTTTTCATGCGTTCTTAATCCCTTGATGTGCTCAGAATGCATTGCTGCTCTGCTCAGTACAGAGGCTCCATCCTGAATATAATATCTATAGGAGGGAGAGTGTGTTTGTGTGTGTGAAATGTATAGTCTTTCTGACCCCTCGTCCAGGGTCCCCAAATGCAGTCTCTCTTTCTGCTGTTGCTTCCTCAGGCTGGCTGTTTTCCCAGTTATAATTTTGCATACCTTCTTAGCCACTACAGTATGCCAGTGCCTTTCACTAATAAACGCGAAGTATAACCTCTCGCCTGCTGTTCCTTGTTCTTTCATCCCTGCTCTAGAGAATGAAGTATAGAGTGGAACATCTTGGATTGGTAGTGCTTAAAATGTAAAATAGTCCTGTCACTGCGTGCTTTAGGAACAGCGTTTCGGAGATACTTACTCATAGTATGGGGCACACGGTGCTGAGCTTTTTTGATGTGTTCCATCATTTCATGCTATATAGTCTTGCGCTGGCTGTTAGGGAAAATATTCTCTGCCATGCTGCATGGTTTTCCTCTTATTATTGCTGAAGCCTCTGTTATGTGAGGAGAATGGTGTTTTTCAACTGCAACCTGTAACTGAATTGGATGGTCCTTGCAACCCTGGCTGATAGTCTGTGACTAGCCAGAGAAGAGAATAAAAAACAAGTTTCTAATGTTTGCAGTAGCTTGACTCATCCCATATGGTTCTGCGCTCGTAGTCTGCCTTTTCCCCACAGTGTTCAGTTCTTTCCTCTTGATCTCTGCCGCACTTCCGGAGCGGACAGAGGAGATGACCCCTTTCTTTGCAGTGACCAAACTAGGGTATGGCTCAGACCCCTCATGCTGCACTGAAACCGTCTGGGTGTGATACTTCTACATCAAAATGGAAATAGAGTAGAAGTTAAAGAAAAGAGAAACGAGTAGGGAGGGCACGTTTTCGGGAAACAGATACTGATCTGAGTATCTCTCTTCTAGTACTTTCCTGTAAAGGAAAAATTCTGATTCTTTGAATAGTTCTTGTTCCATCTCACTCTCAAAATCTCTTTCTTACTTTGAAATGAATTCTCCCCACATTAGGAGACTGCATGAAATGTGGTATATTGCTGTGGTATATGTAAAGTTTGAGTCTAATTAGAACTGAATGATGTAGACGTTGAGAGGGAATGTATTATTTTTAAGACAATAATTTGTACAGTGCAGTTGGGAGAAATCTCTTAATGCAGTTTATCAAACTGTTAACGAGTCTCTAAGCGGATGAAGTCCCATGTCTTGGCGCGTCTAAAGCCAGACTGGTAGTAAGCCAGGAAGGATTAATCCTTTGCTGATGAGAACGCAAAGGCTTCTTCAGTCATTGGAGCACTTGGTGGTTAGAGGTGCTTGATGGCCTGTTGTCTTGTCATCCCGAGAAGGCCGTGGGTTTACTTTGGCAGCAGAGCGGTGCCGTTGGGGAGCCCAAGAGCACATTCGGCCGGGAGGAGCTGCTGTCCTTGGTGATGAAATCAGTGGCGAGGCGGAAGCGTGCCTGGGGGGAGCGAGGAGGCGACCGGCAGAGGTTAACGTCTTCTCGTGGAAAACCATTTGTTTACTGGCACAGCTGGGGCTCTCCTCTGAGTTGCAAGCACACTGAAACAGCCGTTAAACCTGAAGGAGTATTTACGTGTGTAAAATGTTAATGCTGGATTCTTTGGTAAGGGTTTGCTAAAGTTACAGGCCAATTGCAGTATTGTTTTCCGTGGCTGATGGATGCATTTCAAGCTTTTCCTCTTGTAGCGTGACTTTTTCTGCTTCTGATTACCTTGTCTGTGCAGCGATAATAGACAGACTTAGAGTCTTGCTCATATGGAATTTGAATCTCCAAAACTAATCTCAATTCACTAAAATTGTTAGGGTTAAGTATGCCAAGTGTGAGGGAATTGTATCACATTTTGTATCCAGCCATCACGGTGTGGAGCACTGAAGACTTTATGGTCTTAGAGGGACAGTACAGGTGAGCGCACGTCGTTTCCTACGTTTAGCCCCTCTGACACACCAGGATTACAGAGGCTTATATTTCTCCAGAAAATGTGGAATACTGCTAACAAGAAAGCCTGGAGAAAGAAACAACAGCCTTTGGAAAATAAAGTCAGTAGACAAGCAAAGAAATGACCTGAAGATATGCAGGGAGGGAAGTTCTAGCTGTTTCTGTTCACCTGGCTCAGCCAAAAATGCCAACTGGTGACCTCAGGTCTCTGTTTGAAAGACAGCAGTGACTGCTGACTGAATATGGGAAGGGAAGAGTGAAGGGTGAGCTCCGTGTCCACTCCAGCTCAGGACGCAAGACAACTTTGTCCTGGCTGGTGCTTCTGATTTAAGCCTTTGGGAGGAGAGAGCTGCTGATCCCAGTATATAGGCCAGCCAGCTCTGGACAAAGTGGGAGAAGTATTTTTTTTTTTCTTCTAGCAAATATCTGAGCGTCCTCACCAGGCTGCTTTATGCGTCCTCACCAGCCTCCAGCTTGGCTGGGAGGACTAAGGATCCTGTGATTCCTCACCCGTATGGAATAATCCCTTCATCCCTGCAGCAAAATTCCCAGGACAAGCAGTGCAAAGGAAGAAGGAGGAAAAGTTTTGCTTAAATTATTAGGTGTGTTCTAATGCAAATCGTGCTCTCCTTTGGAATAGCATAAGAGCTCTCCCAGCTGCATTCAAAAAGAGCAACGTGAGGCATGTTTCGTTAGAGTTTGGAGACATTATAGTCCAGACTTACTCCACCTGACGTATGGACGCCTCACTGAGGTAGGAGTTCCCTGAATGACCGGAGTAATGGAGTGGCCACAGCTGTAGGTGATGCAGCTTACTGAAGGTCTGAGCCTCTTACTGAAAGCATGATATTTTTCTGATGCTGTAGCTGCTTAAAGTTAAGAAGAGTGGATATTGGCCTTCAAACGGAAGGGGAGAACTTGCAGGTATCCTCTGTGCTTTTGGAGACTAGATGATTTCCTCACAGAAGCTGAAAAGCCTCTACTCTCCTAATGAATCACAGAAGCTGGAAGGGACCTCTGGAGGTCTCTAGTCCAACCTACTGACTTAAGCAGGACTTTCAATAACACTATTCCAGTGCAGCTGGTTCAGCTATAGCTTAATTTAGCTGTTTTTTGAAATCCTGCAAGCATTAAGATTCCCCACCGTTTTAGGCATCCTTTTGCGGTTCTGCACAGCGCTCCTCACCCCCTGCACTGATGCGAAGCTCAGCAACGGAGCATATAATGAGACCCAAAGTCTTGGAGTTTACACTTGACCAGGTTTTGGGGTTAAGTTTTTCTTATACCTGATGCACGAACTGCTTTGCAGTGCAGGGTGAAAGTGAGCTGGGAGAAGGTTTAAGTTCAGTTTGTACGCGTGCCAAGTTGCAGAAGGAGGATCTACTTTTTACGGTGAGGAGCCCCTCAGGAGTGTGTTGTTTGTGCGGCTGTTCCCCTTTCTAGTAAAAAAGCATCCAGGAAGAATACAATATTCATCCACAGTCTTCTGATTTTCAGTAACTTTCCTTTTTTGACTTTGAGTGTGTCAAGACAAACACACCTGTAATCTGCCTCATTTCTGTATTGTCCCCTGAAAAGGACCTGCCAGGTGTCTTTGGAGCAGTTGATTTGAAGTGGATTCCCTGGTGCTCCCCTGTGGGAGAAGGGGATTTTTAAGGAAGAACAGCACGCTTCAGAAGAACAACTACTTAAGAAATCGCAGCCGGCCTCGTATTTGGCAGAGTGGTTTGGCACTCGGGATATCAGCAGGAGTGAGTCCTGCTCCTGCTCCTGTCCAGCTCCTGTGAGGAGCTGAAACTCATCAAACTTCTGGCAGTCTATCAGGTTGACCTGACTATAGGAATCATTCTCTAAATGATATAGTAAGATTTATTCAATTTTTTGGGAGCTAGAGCAGAGACCCCAGGGAGCCCTCTGGCCTTTCCTGGATAAATGGGTTTTGTTAGGTGCCATCAGCCTTCACCGTTTCTTGCTTCCACTAGTAATTATGCAAAAAACATCTTGGACGCTGGGGGAGAACCCTCTGTCTTTCCAGACAAAGCTGTTTTCCTGTTGTCTCTAACGCCAGCCAGAATGAGATCAGATAGTCTGCAGGATGCTCACGCCAGTTCCAACGTTACACTGTTTCGAGCATCCTCTTGACCACATGAATAGATTTGGGTTTTTGTCCCCTGAGGTTAAGCTGTGGCACGTGCTAGAGCAGTCGGAGGACCCTGGGACCAGACGCGATGCAGCAAACCTACAGCACGATTTTATCCCGCATTGAACAGACGTAGGGAACAAATGCTTCGCAGCCGCTAGCACCAGAGTGCTGCGATGGGGTTCACTGAAGCTGTGCAGAAGCAGGGCTGTTTTTAGCTGCAGGGGGTTACTCTAAGGTCGATGGGCTCATTCTGCACCGCGATAGCATGCGGAGAGGGCTGCCCCTTCAGACTTGAGCCTTGCGCGCGTGCCTGATCCTGCAGCTACGCATTCACCTGCCTCTGGGCATCTAGGTACTTAAATCAATGAACCCAGGAGATAGTCCATAAAACATCTCCCTTGAATTCCTAGTATTGCATCTATGAATTTCTTTTTTCCTTGCTGGAAGAGGGGCAAATATATCTTTGTCTGCGTCACATCTTTACATCAAAAAGCAGCAAGGATCATCGATTGAAGCCATTGTATCGCTAACTTGTCTAAAACCAGATCAGAGCATCACTTAACTCAGCGCCAGTTCTCTGTTATAGTCTCAGAAAACCTGTCTTCCATGGGTTAAATTCGCTAGAATCAGTGTTTAACCCAACTTGAAAGCGTCTTTCCGAAGGGAGAGGGTTCAGCTGTTTGGAGAGTGCCGGATCTGCCTGGGCTCCCGGCACCAGGAACGTGCCAGATGTGCAGTTGGGGAACGAGGCTCGTGACGCTCATGTTTGTGGAATGGGAAGAATTAGGAGAAGATGAATACGTTCTCTGTTCTACAAATTAAAAGCAAAAAGATTAGGCTGAAGTGCAGCTGTCAGGGGAGTAGTCGTTCTGCTGCTGAGGAGGCTCTAGCTCCAGTTTCGTTGCCAACTTTCAAAAATCAACGTTTTTTGGGTTTTTTTGTTTTGTTTCTTTTTTGAACAGTGGTAGTGCAGCTTTTGCTAAGAAAATCAAGTAGCTCTTAAAGGGGATGTGCTAAGCCTGAATGGTTAGGTATGCCCGTTTGTTTTTGTCTAGTTTCCCTAAAAACAAACAGGCAAAAAACCCCCAAACCACGCAAATCTCCCCGGTTTCCTAATTCTGAGGTGACTTTCAGTGAGAGCTCATTTCCTTTTCCTCCCAAAACTGGACATTTCATTGATTTCCAGTGCCAGATGATCTTTTCATCTGTCATAGGGCTGTGGCTGTGTGTGGAGGAAATGGTCTGTTCTTTTCCTTAAAAATAAATTGTAGGTTTGCATCCTGCGTAAGATCTCAGCGCAGTTTTTGATCGCCTCGGTGCATGTCTTTTCGTTTAATGGAAGTGCTCTAGGGTTTGCGCATCTGTGTCGGATAGAGTTTTAACTAGATTAACAATTTAAAAATTGTTAATGTCTGAGACAGATTAATTTTGCAGAATAGACCAGGATATTTTGTGTGTGTGTGGGCTTAAAAGTTTTTGCAGAAGATTAGAGGCTGTGAAAACGTTGCTGTCTGCTTTGAAAGGATTTCGCCATGGCAGTAAAGTCCATTTCTGGCAATCTCTTGATTTCACAAATCGTTATGAAACTTTTTTCTCTGTGGACCTTATTCAACTACTGCCCAAAACCCAAGAGGAGCAAAAATGTTTGATCTTAAATTCCAATTCATAGGAAAACATGATCTGCTTTGATGATATTGAGAAGAGATGACAGACTTCCCCTCCCTTAGAGGAAGGCAGGATGGTCTCAGGGTCCGTCCCGTCCGCGTTCCTAGCGCTGATGGTGGTCGTCGGAGGATGGCTCGGTCCAGTGCACAGCCGGCCTTCCCTGCCTGCTTCAGCGATCTCCGGCGGCTTGGCATTTGACAACTTCTGAGCCAGAAGTATTTTACAGTTTTACCAACTGGAGACCAATTGTGCTTAATGCTGCAAGAACAGAGCAAGGCAAAAGCTGTATTCGGAGGAGTCCGCAAGCCACATGAGATGTGGCCTGGGAGCTATGGAGGGAGGCTTGGAAGATCTGGGAGACTACGAGTGCCAAAGGAGCGAACAAGAAGACGTGATAAACCTGACAGCGACACAACAAAACTACTGCTGAGTGTTTACAGTCATCGGATTGAGTCTTTCTTTTAAAAGATATATACGCAAGAGATGTTAGCGAGACCGGTAATCTCTGCAAGACGAGCGGTGCCTGCAGTTCACCTTGAACCTCGGGCCAGGGCCTGTTTTATGAAAGGGAGGAAAGCAGAGCTTAACAAGACAGACGGACGGGTTTCCTTGCATGCAGGGGGCTCTTTAACAGTTCCAGCTTCTTGCCGTGCAGGAGACTTAAACGAAATCCCCTGCTTCCCCTTTGCAGGCTGTAACTTCTGCGCTCCCTGCTTGGAGCCGCTGCCTGGGGTGAGGAGGACCGCTGCCCCGGGCGCTCGGGCAGTGTTGGTTGAGACTCACACACCCTGCTCCAGCTAGAAACTTCTCCCTGCTTCATCCCACCTCCTTTGAGCAGCAATGCCTCTTCAGCGTAATTAGAAATGTTTAAAATAAACATGTTTCCTAGGCCTGTCCACCTAGGTGCCTTTCATCTTGCTCCCCTTTTTTCCACCGCATGTCAACAGAACACTCCCCTCCTCTCTGCGTTTTGGGGAGAAGGAGGGTTGCTTTAGCTTTATGCTTGGGCCAACAAGCTTAACGCCCTGTTGACTTGAACATCTCCAAAGGACACAGGCGCTTCTTGTATGCAGATTTCTCCTCTGATCTTTCTCCCTCCTTCCCACCCTCCAAAACTGCATTTTCTTGTCCCTACGTGAGATTCGCAGCGTTGTTGAAAGATGGTGAAGTCTGGCTGTGTGTTAAAATATATACATATATATAGAGAGAGAATTCATGCTTTTAAAGAAATCAGGCTAGAAATCCGGATAAAGAGAGTTTTTACTGTTGTATAAGATCCGGTGCAGCTTCTGCCGGAACACTTAAACTCGCACTTAAGCCTATGGTCAGAATTCAGTCTCTCATATCTCTGCTGAGGAGGCTAACCCAGGGCCAAACGATACGGCAGGATTTCTCAGGGAAGCCTAAATGGAGGGAGAGAGATGAAGTGAAATTTTCCTGCTTTGAGAGCCTTTAACAATGTAAAGATAGACAAATATAGGTAGATATCAATAACTAATCGTTACATGCCTGACATTGCTGATATCGCTCGTTGTCGGAGTTGCATGCATTAGAGTTACACTGAGCTCTGTGTGTTTAGTGCTGCTCTCCTGATGTCTTCTAGGTGCCTGGGGCTCAGGACTTGGTGGACTTCTCCCCTGTGTACCGATGCCTGCACATATACTCTGTGCTGGTAAGTCTGAGAATGGTTCGTGACACCAGATTTTGTTTGAAACCAGAGTGCTGCGCCCTTCCGGCCAAGGAAGCAGTTGCAAAAACGCATATTTATGTTCGCCTGGTTATGAAGTGCGTTACCTGAACTGGGAAAGAGGCCGGTGCCTACAATGGTGGAGGGATTTGGGTAAAAACCGCGCTGCTCCTTCACACAGCACACAGGCCGCAGAAAGAGAAAAGGATGTTTTTTACCACTGTTTTAGACTCTGGGTTTGTAATGGGCCAAAAACATATTTCTTGCTTGTGTAGTTTCCCTGAAAGAATTCTTCTTTAACCACAATAACTTCAGTATTCAGTTCAAATTGAGGAATCAAGGATAAATTCTAGATGTTTTGGTTGTAGCAGTTAAGAGAAATTCTGCAGTCTTCAAGCACTATTTGACAGGATCCTGTCTGACAGGATCAGATTTTCTGCTGTCCGATGAAATCCACCATTTTATTGTATCATTTTCAATTTTCTTGGAGTTAGGCTTTTTTTTTCTTTTTTTCTTTTTCTTTTTTTCTTTTTTTTTTTTTTTTTGCTTTGAGCACACTGAAAAATCGGGCTAAGCTGAAAGTGCTCTCTGCTGCCATTTACTTCCTGCTCATGCAGTTGCATGCTGATCAGTGTGATATCGTTGTAGTCTCGAAAACTCATCAGGAGATTTCCCGTCTCTGGTGACAGAGGCTGCTAGATTAGCTGGGTTTCTTTCCAGCCGTTCTGAGTATGTAGAGCACTGTTTTTTATATATATTTATTTATAACAAGGGCAGGTGACCTTTGTGGGCTACACTTCAACCTTTACCGGAGCTTTTAATTTCTAAGGCTCCTACAGCAGCGTATGAGCCTTGCAACCTCCCTGTCTACAGACTTGGAAAAACAGTGTTACTTTGTGTCTGTTTTTTAACGTTGGTAACTACATTGTGTGCAGAGAGATGTTTTAGAGGGCTCTCCTCCTGCGGTTGAGCAATCTGAAGCCCAGGCAGGACATGAAAGGAGGACTCGTTTCAGCAGCTTTCCTCCCTTCCCACTGTGGAGCCGAGCTTGAGAGGGAATTACTTTTAAGGCGCTTCTAAAGCCGGGCTCTGCAGCAATACATACAAATGAGTTTGCAAAAAGGAAAAGAATTGTCATAAAAACATTTACATAAAATCGTTTTTGTGTCTTCATCTGTTAATAATTTTGTAATTTGGCTACGTAGCCACGATATTTTACTGGAATGAAAAAGTTAACCTACCCCAAATGCGTTGCTCTATTTGTCTTGGACAAGAACTCCTACTGCGGAACTGCGTTGGAAGCCCGTTTCAGGGAGTTTGTGCTAATTGGAGATTACAACTGCTCTGAAATGCTTTGTGGATTTCAAAGTGTCACTTTATTTGGAGAAACTTCAGTGAAGAATATGTCTAATGAAAACAGGATTAGGAATTCTGTTTGTGTAGCTTACACGCGTTCGTTTAATAGGAGGGTATATGCGCGGGTGTTTAGATGTAATGCTGTTACGGGAAGGACGAGGAGTTTTCTCTGGATATAAGAATTTTGGACATTTGAAATTGTCTCGTTGGTGCAAGGTTGGGAGTTGGAGGTTCAGGAGGACATTGGGATTTGTCATCCTATTGCTTCACCTTTTTGTCCGAGACACCAGCGGGCAGCACCGGAAACGCCACTCCTGGCAACCAGGTTTCGTGGCCGATGCTGCAGGGTGAATCTGGATTTGATGGCCGTCTGCCAGAGCTGGGAACGGCGCGTGCCAAAGGCTCCATCTCAGCCCACGTGTCGGGTGTAGTCGGAGGTGAGGGATGTCTCGGGAGCGTGACCTGGATGGGCTCTTGCAGGTTCTGTCAGCCCGAGGGGCCTGGGAGGTGTTTTAGGATCTCCGGTGAGTCGCAGTAGTTCAGGTATCGCTGCTGGGCCGTGGGGAACAACGAAGCTGACGCTACACCTGGTGATGGCTAGGTTAAAAACCAGGCAGGGATTTCTTGGGAGTAGGTTAATCTCAGTGCTGAGACCGTTAAATCCTTCTCCTCCTATTCCCTGTTTCAGCCCAAGGCCCCCGAAACACGCGGCACAGCTCTAAAGAAGAGGTGTTGGTAAGATGGGCACAGGAGAAGAAGGGAACCGACCGTAGAAAAGAGAAAATTGCCCTTTTTCTGACCTGCGGTTGAATCCTGACCTGGCTTTCCCGGCCCAACTGGAGTCGAACAATGTCAGAGATCCCACCAGCCGCACGGGAAACGGCCACATCAGTGTCAGACGGAAGGCTCATAATGTAATAGTTACCAAAAAAATCCTAATATTTGTCATTTACAATAGCGTTATCTAAACGCTTGGCCTGCAGTTAAAAAGGCCCACGTTGAATAAACATGGAGATATTTATTATTTTTAGTGAAACCGACCTTCCAGTCACCTCGGTTTTATGGCTGTGCTGCTTATAAATTCCCAAAGGATTATTTGAAAAATCCTACTCATATCTGCCAGCCTTATCAGCAGGGCAGGAGTTCACATATTGTAACGCGAGGTCAGCTTGCGGTCATGGTCTCGCAGCCGGGGCCAGGCACCTGTAAATCCTTCCTTCGGCAACCAAGGCGAAGTGCAATCTCGAGCCGGCACCGCGGCTTCGCCAGGAAGCGCTGAACTTTCGCAGGAAGGGCAGAGCAGGGGGAAAGAAAGTGAGCGAGGGTCAGGCCGTGGTTAATGGAGAGCCGGGCCTTGGCCGGGCAGCCGTAGCGGGGCTCCCGGAGGATGCTGGCTGGGCCTATTCTTCAGCGTTGCCTTTTTTTCCCCTTTCTTTTTTTCTTTTGTTTTTTTTTCTTTTTTCCCCTTTTTTCTTTTTTTTGTATTTTTTAATTCATTTTTTATTTTTTTCCCCCTTTCTTTTTTTCTGCAAGAAATAGCCAGCTAACAGCGTCTCGCCGAACGAAGGGCAGCACGCGACGCTTGGACTGTGTGCAGCCGTGAAGCACGGCGCTGCGTGGCTATAGGTCCTCTATATAGCCCTGCAGCCACGTATGCACGATAAGCTGCCTTCTCTCAAATGCCCCTTGAGGGGGTTGACTTTGGTGAAATCCCTTTGGGTTCAGGTCACCGGGCCGCGCGAGCCCTCTTCCCAGGGCTCGGTTGACCAAAGTCGGTGCCTACCTAGGGCAGCTTAAACACCAAAGCGCGCTTAGCTGCCGTTCAGCAGCAGCGTGCTGTTTAAGGACAGTCATGTGCAGCACGGTGAGGCTTGCTGGCCTGTCGGTATCCCGCCTGTCTTCTCCTGGAGTTAACAGAGAAGCTTGCTGAAAATGGTAATATTATTATATAAAGAAGCAGCAAGAATATTTCAGTGGAGTGATTTTGCCATTGACTTTTTTTTTTTTTTTTTTATGTTGTCTTCGACCAGCGTCTGTGCAATACTCAAGCTGCTTTGATCGATAGCCAAAATAAATTAGGAAAGGTGAGGTTTGGGCCAGATGCTTTATCTGTTTGAGCATCTGAACAGCTGTTTGGAGCCTTGTATTTCGAGGCCAAGACATGGAATTGCTTTGCTTTACATAACACAAAATGAAAAGCAGTTTTTGTTTCATGTTTTCCCATAAGCTGGAGCAAGACGGAAAGTGAACAGTGAGCAAAGAGCAGAAGAGCAACAAAAAAAGGTCCAAAACCCAGGGTGATTTGCGCACGGTGTGCTCCGGAGGAGCTGTTGCAAAGGCAGATGACAGTGATTTAAGTCGCTTAAGCTCCTGCTTCAGCCAGTGCTGTTGCCTGTTAGCGCGCAGTTAGGGTTTTTAACTTTATGCTAGTTGGTTACCAGTTACTTTGAGGTTCTTAACATGTTCGTGAAGGCGCTGGGATTGACGCTCCCAGCTCTTTGATCTGAGCTACAAAGGAGTCGATTTAGGAGAAAGAACAAGTGCCCAAAAAAATAAAAAAGAGAGCAGAATCTGATGTAAATACAGGCTTAAAAATGTAGCTACCTCTCAGTTAATGAGGTATTTCTGGAAAATCGCAGAGCTGGATAATTTAGATAAATGGTAGTTGGCATGTATTTACTATACGTTGCTCATATCTTACCATTGACATTTCTATCTGCTGTATTGCTTCTGCCCAAAGCCTCTCTAACCCTAAAGCTGCTTTGATACATTAGGAGAGACAAGAAAATGTAGAACAAATAAAAATCATCTCTATTAAAAGCAAGCAATGTAGAAACTTTTTGAAGCGGCTGTATGAAAAATATATGTCTCTTGTTGCAACTTATTCTGTTAGTAAGTTATTCCTTGCCCGTTGTAGTGATAATGCTCATGTTTTATATCTCTCTGTTTCTGGACGCTATGCAGAACCAGCATGGCCTTGGGAGGAGAAAGCAGAGTTTGTTTTTGCTTATCGTTAAAAGTTTTTTCTTGCGCTTTGATTGAAGAAGTCTGCGCTGGGATTTCTAAGCCCCAGGGAGCTCTGCCTGCCGTCGGGACACGGGGTGAGACGATGGGAAGTAGCGCTCTGCCTCTCGAAGCTGAACAGCTTTCACGCAGAGTGGGAGCTGCCGAAAGGACGGCGTACCGTTCGTCTCCTGCCAGAACCGCGTTCTGTATTTATTTATTTATTTATTTTTATTGCACTTGAATTGCATTTTTTTTTTAATGCCTCTTAGAAGCGTGCTGGCGACTGTGCCGTGTGTCGCCCGTGCTGGCAGCGGTCGTGGTGGCCGCGGCGTGCCCCGGCCTTGCTGCCCCCGAGGGGCTGCCCGAGCGTATGCACCAAAACGGTGGTGGGAGGCAAGGGAAGGTTTTCTTTCAAGGGCCGAGAATGTCTCTTATAGGAACCACAAGTCGAAGCATAAAAGCTACCCACCCTCTCTTTCATATGAAAAGTTGCTCTTTTGCTTTAGGTAACACCCCTCGTTTCTTTTATTTGATACCGAAACACAAACTGCACTGTGGCGAGGCTGTGGCTGGCTTCTGTTTGTGAAATCGGGATTGTGAAGTTTCTTTCTTCTGTGTCCTTG